GCCCGGCTTGGGGGCGGGGGACCCAGCACCCCGGGCAGGCAGCAGGGCCGCTGGGCTGGGGGCTGCCACCCCCCGATGCCTTTGGACGCAGGTTTCCCACAGTGGAGCCCCAGCAGGTAGTAGCTGCTTAATAAATGTTGGCGAGTGGATTTAAGACCGTTCGTTTGGCCATCCCCCTCCCAGGGAAGTTGCTCTTGGTATAAACACTTGCTGGCCCCAAACACGTATATTTCTCAATCTGAAAGGTTTTCGGGGTTATCAGCCCAGAGGCGTCCCCCGCACACGTCCCCTCGCTTAATTGAATTAGGTTTCTACGTGCTCGAAACTTGCTATTTGAGGCTAATACAATAATTACCTACATTTTGGAGTACTAGAGATTAACTCAGACGGCGGGGCAGGGCTGGCTGACAGAGAAGGTTAAACCGTCAAAACGGAAACGAAAACCACCTACGTCACCAGAAACAGCATCGCCCGGGCTCCAGGCCGCGGGTCCGTTTCCCACGGCAGCAGGCCAGCCAGCCGGCCGGCCGCAGCTGCAGCTCGGAGCCCAGTGCTGTTCCTGCTGCCACGTTAGCTCCGGCAGTCCCAACCAGAACTGACATCACAGACCGTTAAAATTTTATCAATTGCAGCATGATTAATTCTCCAGTACACGGGCACGACTTAAATATTTAGAATGCTTCTTCTGTTATGACTTTAATGCATGTAAAGTAACGAGATTAACTCCAGCACACTCAAATATATTTAAATATGTAAGCTTGCCGCCGAGCTGTAGGCGGTTTCCGCGGGCAGGAGTCGGTGGGTCTCTGTGGCCGTGTCAGACTGTATTTGTGTGACCCGCTCTGGATGCCGGCCTGCATGTGATCGCCGGATATCTGGCCTCGCACAGGCTGCCTGAGCGCCTGCCCCATTTGGCGTGGAATGTGATTCCCGGCTATTCTGGCTTCTGATTCATTCAGGTTTTATTGCTGTGTAATTTTCTTATTCTAAAATAAAAGCTCTCCAACAAAAATTACTATGCATTAGGCCGCGGTAGCCTACTCAAATGGATATTAATACAGTTTATCTCTGAAAGGACGAATAATGTATTTGAAACAGATAAAAGGCCCTCCACTAAATGAGGAATGTTAATATCTTATGGCACGGTTAATAAAGAGATATTTCACAAGGGAGATTTGTTTTATGACTTTTGATACAACAGCCTTATAATCTGACATATCTTAAATGATATAATTTTGTGCATGCATTCATCTCTTTTATACCCGGCAGCCCCTCTTAGCAAGACTTGAATTCAGAACAAATCATGGGTACTGATTACTTCGGGGAGGGGGGTTTATTATAAAACTCATCAGCTGAGATGCAGATATGGGGACGTCCGTGCTGAAAGTTGGACTCTTGTAATACATTTTGAGAAGTGTCTTTTTTTCCTCTCCTTCAGCAGAAAATAACATTTGTTTTTGTTGTGTTTAAGGCAGAGTTTAAATTAATTTAACCCAGCGACACATGTTCAGGGACTAAGCATGCTGCTAAATAATTCCTCGGAATAAATTGCTCAGGAACCAAGTACATTAATTTACGGCTCTCCCGATGCTGACAGAT